TATCTGAGAAACAAATATTTTGAAGAACTTATTCACAGCTTTGTTTTAGCATATATAAGTGCCATAATTTACTAGATTGAGGCGCTCCTTTTACTTTTACTCTTCTTGTTCTTCATCTGAAGTTTAGTTGCAAATGTCATAGGCTGAAGTACCTACGCACTTACCATCAGCAGTGCGATTGTGTAACTGCTAGAAATCGTTGCCATATAGAATCGTAGCACATCATCATCATCATGATCATTACAGCCCATCACAAGTCCACTGATGAACATAGGCCTCCCCAAGGAATGCAACAAAGCACGGTCCCGAGCCACCAGCATCCATTGACTTCCTGCGTGTCTTACCAGTTCGTCACTTCATCTAGTGGGGGGACGCCCAACACTTCGCCTGCCGGTACGAGAAACCCTAGAACCTTTCTTCCCCATCGGTTGTCGGTTCTTCGAGCTATATGGCCGGCCCATTGCCACTTCAGCTTATTAATCCGTTGGGATATGTCGGTTACTCTAGTTCTACTGTGGATGTCCACGTTTTTAAGTCTATCAGAAAAATCCCGAGCATAACCCTCTCCATAGCTCGCTGAGCGACCTTGAACATCATACGGCCATCAGTGAAGGACCACGTCAAGATTCATAGGTCATCACTGGCAACACACTGGTTGAACATTCTTGTTTTGAGCTTTTGAGGTATGCCTGACGAGAAGTTGTGTCGTAATCTCCCGAACGCTGCTCAGTCGAGTTGAATCTGTCTATTGAGCTCTCGGTTAAAGTTGGACTTACCTAGTCAGACTATTTGTCCCAGGTAAACATACTCGTCAACAACTTCGAGCTTAGTGCTCCCAACAACTACCGGCACTATTGAGGTTATTGAGCATAGTGCTTAGGTCCTCCAGTGATTCTGCCATAAGCACTATATCGTCGGCAAATCGAAGGTCAGTGATGTACTCGCCTCAGGCGTATCCTTTCCAGTCCAGTAGCTTGAAAACGTCTTCCAATGCAGCGGTGAAGAATTTAGGGAATATAACATCACCCTGTCTTACACCTCTCTGCCGTTGGTTAGTTTGCTTACTCTGGTTCTGTACTCGGATAGCCTTCGTAGCCCTACTGTACAAACATTTCAGCACTTCGATATATCGACAGTCAACTTGGCACCTCTGTAGGGACTGTAGCACCAACCAAATTTCGACGGAATCAAAGGCAACACAAGTGGCAGACTCTGTACATTTTGCCGAATTTGCCTGTGGTAATCACTCCAGAATTACGTTATGTTTTTTTCATTATGATAATACTTTGTAATCTCAGATAAGATAGGATTATGAGAAATATATCGGCTTATAATCGATATTGACATAAACATTACTTATATACACAATACAATGAAACCAAGCGTTACCATAAGTTACTAAATCGCTCTGCAGGTCGGATTTTATCTCGTTTCCTACAATGTTATAAAATATATGGCTCCTTCATGAATTTATACATTTAGGTATCTTATTTTTTATATATCTTTTTATCTAAACCACATTTAATTAACCATGAGGATAAATTTTAATTTTTTGACATTAGTAGAACGCTAATAAATGTTGGCTGGATTTATGATCATGGTTTCAAATTACCATATACATATTATTGAGTTTGCAGGAGGATATTATAATTTCAAAATCAAACAAAACAGACCCAAGACTCGAATAACATTTACATGAAATATCAACAGATTTTTATATAAAATTTTTAACAGATGTCTACATCTGTTAAAAATTTTAATGTTGCGTTCTTTTGTTTTAATTAGTATTTCTTAATTGAATATCACAATTTCAAATCAATCCCTGATAGTAATTTCTAGTTACCCTTTTGCAGACGTAAGGTAGGTTGAACGCTGATTGTCTTTTAAGGAAATACATTCTACCAATAGGATTGTTCTCGTGTCTCTCACTTTGCATCCAAGTATTTATACGGACTTGTTAGAGTTAAAAGTTAAAAGTTACAGCCCATGTACGTGCCACTGCTGGGCCTCCTTTCATTTCTGAGAGGGTTTTAGGGCAAGGAAATGTCCGCCGCGGTGCACTAATGCTTGTTGGCGAACTTCACATGTCTTCGAAATACTTTTTGTTCTTATTTCTCAGACGTGCAGGTTTCCTCACGATGTTTTCCTTCACCGCCGAGCACGTGGTAAATCAGCACTTAAAATTACAACTAACAATTGCATTGGTGTCGGCAGAGATCGAACTACCACGTAGCCTCTGATCTACCACGGCTTGATATTATCGAAATTACAAGTTTTATCATTACAAACATGTGTGAAATAAACATACACTATATGAGAGACGAGAGCGTGCTTCTGTGGTGTACCGTACGTACACATTAGACACTCAAATACGTCTGACGCAGTTAAGGCGATGGTGCAGTACTTAACAGCGCAAAATCATTTTACAAAGATTGAACATATAGGAAAGGATTGTGTGAAGACAAAATCGCAAAGCAATTGGCTTGATAAAAAGTCACGAAATCAAAAGGAATACTAATGTGTGTCTTACACGGTTTCAGTGTGGAGTCTCTCCAAATTAAAAGGCATATTATTTTTTATGTCATGTTACAATACACACACAAATAGAACACATTTTAAAATTTGTTTTAATTTTATTCTATGAAAAAATACAGAAAAACAGAACGGTTCAAACGTTCGCGGCAGCCTCGGCCATTGCTTACCGACACATATTTGAGGTTAGACGTACGTTATTTATACAATTTTTCCGGCTTTATTGCTATTTACTCGACAATTGCGGGGAGCGAGTTTTGTTCTCATTTGTACACATCTTACTACAAGAGGGCCTTAATAACTTCCGATAGGAAAACATCAATCTCACGATTTAGCTCGTTTCGCAATTAGTTGGCAATAGTTTTAGTGTCGCGTCATAACACATCGCTTAAACTGTTACCAAACCCGTTCTATATGTGATTAATCAATCAGTCACATCTGTCGTTGGAGGTGTTGCTAAAGATTGACAAGCAGATACTCTTTTTATTTGGGTACGGTTCCGTAGCGGTAATTATTTGTGTACCTATATGAAACTCTATCAAAAACTTTCTGATTGATAGTAGTTCAAAACAATAATGAGGCTAAATTTTTGCTTTTAATTTCATGTCTTATTGATGTTACCTCATTACTTAAGTAATCATATTTATATACATATACATAAAATAACGGGTAATTTAGCGACACGAGTGCTGACAGTGTTTCAAACAGAATGGGATGAACGTGTGTCTCTGTTTTTGCGCGATCTCTTAACACACTAAACCGGTAACTACTAACTAACCTTATTATTTAAGACAAGAAAGGGAAAATTCTACTTTCAATAGTATTCGTAAGTTGCCCCTGTAGACTAAACCGCCTCTAAAATGTCTAAATTTTGGTAGATCATTTTTAATAAGGTTATCCGTCGTTCGTAGCTGAATAAATATCAACAGAAATATTGTCGTTTAATTAAATTAATTTATTACAACAGGACGATGTATCTAACACATCGGGGTCGTTTTCGAGTTTTAGAAAACCAAATGAATGATTTGTTATAACTACCGTGTACTGTGTTACACTAACCTTATTCAAATGCTTTTAAATATGTGTTACATGACGTCAAAACACGTCGCCGCCGCGCCGGCTAACAAATATCATAAAAATATTAATGTCTTTCTCAGCGCATATATTTTTATTCACAAAATTCAATCTTTTTCGATCGATAAGCGACGGATGGGCGTCATGATTGATTATTAAAAACATATTCCGAATAAATATTTATCAGTTTGCGGGTTTAACAGTGTTTTGATATCTCATACAGCTTAAGTCTTAAACGTAATGTAATTCGAAGAAGAAAGAAAGGAATATTTCGTCTACTGCGACAACTTTAGATTTATGTGGCTATGAACTATGCACGAGATAGAATAGCACCATAATTCCATAATACGTATCTCTCGCTGACGAAATTAAAAAAACACAGGAAACATATCACGCGGTGTTTTCCTTTTAATTCTGTAGTGCATTTTAGGCCTTTGTTTTGACAAACACAACACAATTAAATACGGATTTTTCAATAGTCAGATAAAAGTTATTCATAAAATTACGTATAACCTGACTGTCATGTATCACATCAAACAAACTATTTTATTCGTGGAACTGCAATATTTATATTGCATCCTATGAAGTTATCCTATGAACAACTTTTATCTGATAATTGAAAAATCGCCCCTTAGTCGTTTAAGTATCAGGAAATCTGCATGACTTAGAAATAATACTTTCGGAAGATATAAAAAGTCCACAAATTTGCAATCTAGCACAGGTGGATATTTCGCTGATCCATAACCATAAAACTCTGATATTTTTATAGACTAGATTTCATAGATTTTCATAATGCGTATTTTTATGGCAGATTTTTGAAAGGCATGCAATATATTTAAAACTATTTTAAATGTATGTATAATCTATATTTTGTTTTTTAATTTAATTTGTTTTTATTTCGTCCCACGGGCGGCGTAAGATGAAACTATAGTTTAAAAATGCCGAAAATTTGCAGATTTTTGAAGGTGTATATATATTAAAATTCAAGCAATGTATTTAAAACTATTTTAATCTGTATTAGCCCACTCAATGAAGGAAAAATAGGGGAAATAATTCGTGTAAAAGCGATTTTTGGCATAGTTGTAGGGAATGGTGTCTTAAACAACATACTCAAAGTACTGATGAATGGGGGTGAAGCTAACGGGTAGGGGGGGGGGGGGGGGGGTGTAAAGGTCCCTTTTTTAAGTTTTTCTTAAATAACTCGTAAACGGTGGCTCATAGCAAAAAAATTTCTTCTACTCAAGTAATCTAAATAAAATTTTATACAAAAAAGATTCTATACACTTTTTCGCTGGGATCAAAATTTAATGAGATATAAAGGAAAGAAGATGGATAATAATAAAATAAACTTACATTTATTTAATTAGGCAAGACATAATATGTTTAAAAAAAATCTAATTATCTTCTAAATATAAAATATCATCATCAACATCATCGTCGACGGTGTTTTCGATGGGGGCTCCGTTAGTGCATGAGCCGGAGCATACGCCGCAGACCCTGGAGCAGGCAATTCCTGCTTTCCGGCAGCCGCATCGCACCCCACACCCAGTCGTGCACCGGCAAAATATGGTGTTGAGAATGGACTCAGGTGCCACTGGATCATTGGTTGTCACCGGCTTTAGGATGCCATCGTCCCCTCTGGCCCAGCCCCATTGAGTGGGTGGTAGGGGGTTGCCGAGCCATTGTTGTATCTGTAAAAGAAGTAATAAGATCAACGTAAGTATTTAGCTCAAATATATATTTATATTACAGTATTTGACAACTTTTGTGATTAATGTTACCTGTAAGTACACTCTCAATGAGTGCTGCTTCGAAGCTCCTCTGGTAGGAGGAAGAGTGGCCAGATCTGATTTCGGCTTCATCGATGCTCTCAAAAAAGCTGAGTATCGGTATTTATTGAGATTTTGTTCCTGGACAGGCGCTTGGTAAATTGCCAGAAACAGTTTCTCGCCAGCCTGTTCAATACTTTCAGGTGATGTTGAAAGCCCACTGAAAATGTCTGAGATGTTTTGGGTCAGATCTGGTTTAGCCGTGAACAGCTTAGCAATTCCCACTTTGCTCTTTCCATGGATTGCGGAGGTGGTGTCGCATCCAGAGAAGCTGTGGAGAAGGAGAATTGACTTGGCAAATTCAAGCTGTTGAAGTTGTCGCACTGAAAACAATTTGGTCTCCACCTTTCCACGTCCTGGTTTCATAAAGAACACGTTGATATTTGGTGGAGCCAATCCCATGAGGAGGACTATCAAGTCGACATCCTCCCCAACTATTACAACAGTTGGATGAACGGCAGCCTTATCCAACCCGCAGCTGACAATAGTACCATCAGCATCTCCTGTTGCAACAGTTGTTTCAATCCCTGCTGCTGTCATTTTCTCGGTGAGGAACTGAATCAGCCTAGTTTTATTGTTTTCATTGGCAAGGAAATGCTCCTGTTGAACAGTGATGATCGTATTTTCGTTACAGTTAATGTCAACCGACGTTCTAGTCAAACCTCGTCGCTTCTGCTCTGCTCGTTTTGTGCTGTTGACATCACTGTAACCATCAAAAACCACCATACAATTTGTACCGTAATGTTTCTGTACGTAGGTAATGTACTGATGGCAAATCGAAGAAACGCTGGAGGACGGTTTCCATTTCATACGGTGTAGTAGGAAACCACCATCTACCACATTGGTGGTTTGGTTGAGATCGAGAGCTGCGTTATTCTCTACTGGCAAAACATCGTAGAGCCAGCCACGTAGAAAAAAAATCACAACTCGCGACGCGATTTAACCTCTGACCGATTTTGGCGCGAAACTCGGCGTACACACAACCACTTCACTGGCGGCGCGCACAGTCTGTGGCGCGCACTTTACTACGACGTTAAATCGCGAGAATTGATCATAATTAACTTTTCTTCTTTAATATCTCGTTAAATATTGATCCCAGCGAAAAAGTGTATAGAATCTTTTTTGTATAAAATTTTATTTAGATTACTTGAGTAGAAGAAATTTTTTTGCTATGAGCCACCGTTTACGAGTTATTTAAGAAAAACTTAAAAAAGGGACCTTTACACCCCCCCCTACCCGTTAGCTTCACCCCCATTCATCAGTACTTTGAATATGTTGTTTAAGACACCATTCCCTACAACTATGCCAAAAATCGCTTTTACACGAATTATTTCCCCTATTTGGCAGTTTTTGGTCTTCGTTGAGTGGGCTATATGTTTTTTTTATTTAATTTATTTGCATTTCGTCCCATGGGCGACGTAAGAGGAAACTATAGTAGAGGAGACCGGGGCCACAATTAATAAAAATTGCATTTTACAAGCAATAGCGAAAAAATCGTATGGCTTTTCTGCCGACTTCAAAAAGGAGTCGGTACTCAATTCGACTGTATGTTTTTTTTTATGTGTGTTACCTCATAACTTTTTACTGGGTGAACCGATTTCGATGATTCTTATTTTATTTGAAAGCTAGTACTCCACATGTGGTCCCATATGAATTTGATCAAGGTCAGACTAATCGTTTTTGAGTTATGCTTAATAATTTATATTTAAGTCGGCTATACAAAATTTAAAATTTTAAATTATTGGTACTGCAATCGTCAATTCTCATGCCAAGCGTGCCTCATTAAGACATGTAAGAATATAAAGGGAGAAGTGAGCTAATAAAGATAAAGAAACCAAATAAAATATTTTATACTTAGTAGGTATACATTTTTAAAAATCAAGAGTCTTTGTAAGCTTTCTTTATACTAGCAATGCTATTAACATTACTAATATTCCCTTTGACCACTCCTGGTAAGCTTAAAATGCTTGTGTTAGAAGTGGTTCACGACAGTATGTAGTCGAATGGCGGATTCGAACACACAACCTTTTTAGTTCGCGGTCTGCACCCTGCCATTAGGATAGTGTCGTTTTTTTTATTTTTCTACCGACTTCAAAAAGAAGACGGTGCTCAATTCGACTGTATGTTTTCTTATGAGTGTTACCTCATAACTTTTTCTGGGTGCACTAATTTCGATGATTCTTTTTTTTTTTTGAAATCTGGTGCTTCTCCTGTGGTCCTATATAAATTTGATCAAGGTTTGACCAATAGTTTTTGAGTTATTCTTAATAATTTATATTGAAGTCGGTTGTACATAATTTTTAACTTTAAATGATATTCAATTTTTTTAACTTTTATTATAGACGAAAGCGTATGTATAAACTTTCAAGACAAACAAAGACTGTGAAACTTAGCCGTTCTAAAACATCTTTTTTATTCTTCCGTCAAATTAACTTAACTTCACAAAAATCTCGACGTTCCAACGTCAATATAGAAAATGTCACGCGAAAAAATCTACCAAACTTCATAAAAAAAACATCAGATAGATGTCGACCTACATCACCGCAGTATTCATCGTGCGGGAGATGAACCAGCGTCACCTGAGGGTAAATGACCACCTGACCCATATCCGCGTCCCGACTTTCACCGGTGCGGCGGCCGTTCACCCGGGAACCGACGAGCCACCGCCCCAATTCCATTTGAGCCGAGTGAACCCACATTAATTGGAACGGACTTCAATTAATACTCGTTACGTTATAATACCGCCATCTTTGTTTTCGATTACGCAATGTGAGCGCTTCTGCTTGTTAATGAAAAAAAAAGATGTTTCGTTACGCTATACAGTGTTTTAATAATATAAGAGTGATAAACAATTAATCTTACAGTCCACCGAATACTAAGGGGATACTCCAGCCTGACACTGCAACCAACGTCAAGCAAACAAGGCAAGGCAAAATGTGTTGTCATACCTGAGGAAAGTTAAACGTCCCACTATCAAGCACAGGATCCTTCTTATTTCTGAAGAGGATTGTGGGCAAGGATGTCATCATCATCATCATTACAGCCCTTCACAAGTCCACTGCTGAACATAGGCCTCCCCCAAGGAATGCCACAAAGCACGGTCCTGAGCCACCTGCATCCATCGACTTCCTGCATATCTTACCAGGTCGTCACTCTATCTAGTGGGGGGACGCCCTACACTTCGCCTGCCGGTACGAGGCTGCCACTCGAGAACCTTTCTTCCCCATCGGTTGTCGGTTCTTCGAGCTATATGGCCGGCCCATTGCCACTTCAGCTTACTAATCCGTTGGGCTATGTCGGTCACTCTAGTTCTACTGCGGATATCCTCATTTCTGAGTTTATCACGCAGAGAAACTCCGAGCATAGCCCTCTCCATAGCTCGCTGAGCGACCTTGAGCTTCCTCATCCGGCCAGTAGTGAAGGACCACGTCTCAGTTCCGTATGTCATCACTGGCAACACGCACTGGGTGTACAGTCTCGTTTTCAAGTTTTGAGGTATACCTGACGAGAAGATGTGCCGTAATTTCCCGAACGCTGCCCAACCGAGTTGAATCCGTCGATTGACCTCTCGGTCGAAGTTGGACTTACCTAATCGGACTATTTGTCCCAGGTAAACATAGGTTTCCTAGCGGTGTTATCCTTTACCACCGAGTATGACACAATCGGCACTTTTTTAAGTTTTTGCAATTTACAATTTTATTCGAACCCGGTTTTCTCGCGTTTAGCTACAACGGCACAGGGGGGAGGGGGGGGGGGTGGAAGGGCGTCCTAAGAGCACCGTGTAAGCAAGCCATATTCCAATTTCATCGCTTTAACATTACGTAAAACATTTAGGGCGTCCTAGTGCCACAGTGTACTTGTCAATATTATGTAATGTCCTTTAAATAACTAATAAATTTCAAATGTTATATATAGAATTCTCACGGATCACTGTCGTGGTGGAATGTTAATACATTTATTTAAGAAAATACCGTAACATCATGTTTACAGATGTTTAAATTATAATTGGGACTGCGGACAGCCAGAAAGTATGCTAATTAGTATGAAATTATAACAAATAACTACCCTACATAAGTCTCTTTCGCAATTAGTGAGCGTCTATGTCATTGCGGGGAGCGTGCCCAATTTTGAAATTGGAGCACTGGATACATAGTGGCATAGCCCTTCGTGTTGAGTGTACACTGTACAGTGTCAAACGCATCCGAAAGCTCTATATATAATGTGTGTTCTCACATTGAAATTAAAATGTAGGAATGAATAAAAAGCTTAAAACCTGAAATGGTTTCGGTAATTCACTTGTAATCAAATAATTTTTTGTTAGATCTTTTTCTGTCATTTGTCACTTGCTTCATTTTATTACCATTCGGCAAATATCTAAAACTTGATCATGAGGTACTATCGCGGATTTGATTCCGGCACGGAATAACATTCTTATGGCCTGAAAAATAATTGTACCAAGCCTGGGTGTTTAATTAGAAATAATTTATGTATTGGAAAACGCAATCACAATACAAGACAAATCCTAGCGTAGAATTTTTTTTATACATAGAACATAATTTGGTAATTTTTTAGTAGATAGGACAGTTAAAAACATTGGATTCTTATCTGATACAAAACGCTGTATAAAACACGTTTCTATACAGAATTAGATTTAGTGAACTTGCTTTTACATTTTTTTCATTTACAGTTTTATTTTTCCTCATGCTTCACGTCATTTATAAAACAAGCTCGCAGCCATGATGAGAGGAATGCAAAATATAAAACTTAAGTTGCGCGGTGCGGTGCAATGCTTTGAAATGCGTTTGAACCCAGGGCTATATTTATTATGAAAAAATAAATCATAAAAATTGGGTGGAAAGATTACGTAGGGGCTAAAACATTTGGTTAAAGCGCTCTGGGTCGCGGGTTCTAATCCCGTCATAACAATTATTCGTTTGGCCAACAAACAACTGTTTCGGGTCTAGATGTTTGTCCGTGTGCAATTTATGTTTATAAAACGTCCCCACGCTACAGGAGAATATAATCTATGGACTAATGTTTATTTTTTTATTAAGAAGCACGTTAAGAACAAAGATTAGCTAAGTATACTGCTGCAGTTTATTAAGATTTTATATTAACTAACATATCGACTAATCTTGTGCTTTGTACAAGCATTTATTTTATTAACTTATTTTCTTTTTATATAGGTATCCGGTCTAAAATTAATAATAATTTTATTGAAATATGTACTTGCTGACATCCGAATGAGCTGCAATTTGGCATAACAAATATGTTGATGACATGCAATAATATGTTACCATGGTGATGATCAGATGATGGACACGGATTATGGCTACAACCACGTCTATAAAAGCATGTTTATAAATAGGTTTTATAATATCTTAATGTTATTAATTAATAATAATAATATAATTTATCATTAATTAATAACATTAAGATATTATGAAACCATTTTCTCATTACATATGAACTTACATACAATAGGCTTAAGATGGTACTTATTCAGTGATGATTATAAATAATTCCTTAATAAAAACAGCAACTAATTTTTAAATAGTGCTGTCGTAGCTCAGAGGCTAAATGCTCGCCGTTCACAGTACGCGAGCTACTCGGGATCCCCGGCGGCACCATAGCAATTGTTAGTTGCAATTTAAACGCTGATTTGCCACGTGCTCGGCGGTAAAGACAAACATCGCGGGGAGATTGCACGTCTGAGAAATAAAAAA